TCTCTCATTCCCACCCAGGCCTCACCCCACACTCAGCCCTGCTCATACAGCTATGGGGCAACCGCAGGCTTTCATAGTCCAGCTGTTAGGTTTTGGGCAGGCAGCCCGTGTGGGGACAGGGATGGAGAGCCCTCGGGTGGACCCGGCCTCTGCTGCCCGAGGTGGGGTGTTGCCGCCAGTGCCTAGACAGGGAAAGAGGAAAGGATGAGCCGAGCTCAGCTTCAGAGAGGTCTGGTGAGGATGAAGGGGGTGTTGGTCCTTGGCCACCTCTGCTGGGCTCTGGGACTGTGGGCTGCTAGCGGAGCTGCACCGTGCCTGGCTATGAGGGGTGCAGGAGGGCTGGGAACCCCTTCCTTGCCCTGCGGGAGCTGGGTGCTGCTGGGCTGGAGACAGTCACACTGTGTGGGTGCCCCAGTGTGAGCTGAGCACGCCGGGAGTGATGCAGAGAGTTGACCAATGTACAGGGGGGTTGTACAAGGGGGGTTAGAGGAATTTCCTTGCTTAAACAAAAGTATTGTCTGTTGTAAATGCCTGCTAAGCAGAACAAAGACACCTGGTCCTATTGATAAGGAAAAGCAGACACTTGGTTCTATTGATAAGCAACTATTGATAAGGAGAAGCAGACGCCTGAATCTACTGATAAGGGGGACAAGCAGATGGTTTATGGCTGGGATACCGACCAAACCCTAAGGCCATATGTGAAGACTAAAAGGTGAAAAGTGCAAGAAGAGGAAGACTCATTTACTTCATCTTGAAGACCCCTACCCACAGGAGGAAGACTCAGTTACTTCATCTTGAGACCCCTGCCCATGACCAGAGGGGGACTGCGCAGGTGCAGAGGACCTTCTGGCTCATTATAATATGAAGCGGGACTACGACATGAATATGTATAGGCGTGTTGTGCAACCTTATGAATATACATAACTTTAGAGAATAAATGTAGAGGGAAACAACACTGAGGCACGCATGACTTTGAGGAATTATCCCCGTGCGTCTCAGTGCTGAATAAAGCATACCTACTTTACAACTTCAACGAGTTGTGGAGTCAATCCACGCATCAGGAGGACGTCTGAGCGTGGCTGCAAAGGACATGGGGTCTCTGGCTCCAAGGCACAGTGGGCTCGCAGGACCACAGGGGCTTGGCAGGATATGATGACAGCCCTGGGACGACAAGGCCCCAGCTGCAAGGAAACAGGAAGTGAAGCTCTGGACTTTCACTTCACTTTTCTCCCTTCCCCGCCACCTCCCCAGAAACAGACTCATTTCAGGACTTGAAGAAGCCGGGACAGCTTCTCCTGTCTGGGGGTGATGACAGGTGGGTGCGACCGCCGGTGCTGCGGCTGCTGGTGGTGGGATGGGGTCCTGCCTGAGCACTGCCAGGGTGCTGCTCATCACCTGCTCACCCGGGCAGGCCCAATGCACACAGCATGGTACATAGGCTGGAGTCCAGCACATGGCGTCCCTGAGTAGCTGGGCCCTGCTCCTTGCAAATATCCCCCGAGGAACTTTCTGTGGATGTGTGGGAAAAGAGGGAGATGGGAGATGGCAGGGGAAGGAGGGGAATCACACAGGGCGATGGCAGGGGAGGGATCAGCAGCTGGGAGGGGGCAATAAGGAAGGGGGCAGCCCCTGGGGGAGGCAATGGGGAAAGGGGGACAGCAGGAGGGGTGTTGAGGAGGGGATCAGCACCTGGGAGGGGCAATAGGGAAGATGAAGCACCCAGAGCAGGCAGCGGGCACTGCAAGGGTTTGGGGGGGGACGCTGATGGGTCCACCCAGCAGACAAGCTGCTCCTGAATGTGCGGCTGGACTTTGTGGAGCGTGCGAGCAAGCCACTCATCTCCGGACTGCTCGATGAGCTGATGGCCCGAGGGGTGCTGAACCAAGAGGAAGTGGAAGAGGTGCAGGATAGGTACACGCTGCGCACAGACAAGGCCCGCTGCCTCATCGACTGCGTGCGCCTGAAGGGGCCCCGTGCAAGCCAGATCTTCATCGACAGCCTCCAGAAGCGCGATGGCATCTTGGCAGAGCAGCTGGGCCTGGCCACTGATGTGGGTGAGTGTTGAGAGGCTGTGGTCTGTCTCTGACCTTGCTGGGGCTCCCATTGCCTCCAGCAGGATGCTGGAGGAGGCCTGGCCCTGGTGAGTGTACAAGGCCTACAGGCAAGGGGCAGCTGAGCACCCCCAGTGTCACTGCTCTGTGGCACTGAGTCCCCCTTGCATGCAGTCAGGACAGGGCTGTCAGGGGTGGCCATCCCCAATGGGGCTGAAAAGGACCCCCAAGGGGCAGTGCCTGGCTCTGCCTGCCTGTACATGGCCTGGAACAGGCCCCTCTTGCTGCAGGCTCTTCCCAGTGTAACTGGAGGGCTTTTTGCTTGCAGGGCCCTCAGGTGTGCAGCTGGCTTTCACCAGCCCCCTCATTGCCATCCAAGGCCAGCAGTGGATCCGGCAGTGTTCCCTAAGCGAGTACCAGCACATCAGGGCCACAGAGGGAGACCAGGTGCTGTGGGCAGAGGAGATGAGAGGAGTGCTGGAGGGTGGCCCAACCATCCTGCTGGAGTAAGCAAGGGCTTACCAAGAGGAGTCAGGGTCTCTGCTGACCCAGGAGCAGGGCAGGAGATGTGGGGAGATGCCCCAGGGACGGGGAGATGTGGATGCTGCAGCACTGGACCTTCTCTGCTATTAGCTGCCTCGCAAGGAAAGCCCCTGCACCCAGCCACCCGCTGCTGAGTGCTGCCTCCCTCCATTCCCACAGATCTATCCTCTCTATCTGCCGCGGGAGTTGCGAACCCGCAGGGCCCTGCTCATCTGCAACATTGACTTCGAACACCTGAGCCGGCGGGTTGGGGCTGAAGTGGATGTGCAGGGGATGAGAGAGCTGCTTGAAGGACTGGGCTACGTGGTGGACATCCACCTCAACTTATCTTCCGAGGTAAAGGGCTGTACAAAGCAGCTGCCACTGGCCCCAGGAGTGGTGCAGGGACCCTCCTTGGGTGTGCTGGTGCTGGGGGACTTGGGGACCTGGTGGCTGGCTCTCCTGATGTTCCTTCCTTGTGCTGGTTTGTAGGAGATGGCTACAACCATGACTGATTTTGCAGATCGCAAAGAGCACCACACCTCTGACAGCACCTTCCTGGTCTTCATGTCCCATGGGGTCAGGGCTGGGATCTGTGGGACCAAGAGCAGAGACGAGGCCACAGACATCCTCTCCCTCAATACCATCTATGAGAAGTTCAACAACCAGCACTGCCAGGCGCTGCTGGGCAAACCCAAAGTGGTCATCATCCAGTCCTGCCGTGGAGGTGAGTCCCCACCACAAGGTGCCTGCAAGTGGCCATGTGAGCACCGAGAACGGGATGGGGTGGGGACACCCCATCATCGCTGATATCTGGCCCTGCCTTCCCAGGCAAGGTGGGCTCTGTGCTTGTGAGTGATGCTGCAGACCTCTCCGTGCCTGCCTCCAGCTCTGCTCACACCACCTGTGCAGCACTGGAGGATGATGCCATCTTTGAAGTCCACCTGGAGAGTGATTTTGCCACTTTACATTCCTCCACACCTGGTGAGCAGCTCCTGGAAGTAGGTGCCCTGCCTGGGGGGAGGCGAGGGCAGTGGGGATTCCTACTCCTGATGCCATGGGTCTCCTCCGCATGTCCTCCTCCTTGGGCCTCCATCTGGTGCCTGCTTGAGCATGCTCCAACAGCCTCTGGAGAGGGCAGTGTCCTCCAATGCTAGGGTATGCAGCTGCTCCAGGACACCCACAGATCCCTCTCAGAGCCACCAGGGCCAGAGCTTTGTGCCCTGCCTGCTTTCGCTTGCCCTGGCTCCATCCCTCCCCATCAGCTCTGCTCCTTCCCCAGCTGATTGATCTTACCACAGTGGCTGCCCAGGGCAAACTGTCTGTTCCTGCTGGTTAACATATGTCTCCAGGCTGTGCCAGCTGAGCAGCTGGCGTAGCTGGGAGCATGGGAGGGCAGAGGCTGGAAGAAAACACATCATTCTGTCTTCCCCGGGGTGCCCTGTCCTTTTCCATGCTGTGGGCTGGATGAGTCAAATATAATGATCTTGGAGAAGGCACCTGCCTCCTGCTCCGGCTCCCAACGATAATCACAGTTGCAGCGAGAGATACCAGTGAAGTCACACTTGGGCATCTCCTGTCTCCCCAGATACTGTATCCTGGAGATCAGTAACAGGATGCATTTTCATCCAGCACCTGATAGAGCAGTTTCGAAACCATGCCTATAACAGCGACTTGGAGGAGCTATTCCGAAAGGTGAGGTAACTGCAGGAGTGCCGGCACATGCAGCTGTGCCAGCCACCAGGAATGCTGCTGGGAGCAGAGCTCAGGCCAGGCCATTTCTCAGCCCTGGGGAGCAGGCTCTGTCCACAGTGTGTCTGGTTTGGCCAGGAAGGTCAGCTGGATCTCTGGAGGCATCATCGTCTGCCACATGGTGGGCACGCATGAGCCTGGTGTGCTGGTGCAGCCCTTAGTGTCCCTTGAACCACCACACATGTGCTTGGAGGTGCCCCTGGGGATGCCTCCTGACACCCTTCATGCTTCCCATGCCTGGAACAGACCTTCTCTCATTTCTCCCCACTGTCATTCTCATCCCAGGTCCAATATTCCTTTGGAAAATTCCCCCGGCAGTTGCCATCGAAAGAGCGAACTACAATGCTCAGGAAGTTTTACCTCTTCCCAGGCCACTGATCTCCTGACTATGGTGAGTCTCTTCACCTCACACATCTGTGGCAGTCTTTTGTGTGTGCCCCACACCCAGTACCCAGCCAGCATGGAGGAGGGGGAGGAATTCCCCATTGCTCCTGGGCTCCAGAGCTCATGGCTGGATACCCAAAGGATTTGTGTGCCAGTAGCTGGGGCCAGGCAGCAGCCTGACCCCATCCCCATCTCCCAGCTGGCCACAGGAGAGGAGTTCTGAAGTAGCCTGTGTCTCAGGAGCTTTCTCAGTCTAATGTTCTTCACAGGTGAAAAATCAATACACGGACAGCAAGTGTTTGAATTTGGAGGTAACAGCAGAGAGCTCAAGGCTCTGCTCCAGAGAGGCACTTCTTCAGAAAAGGAAGGACCAGAGGGAAAGCCCAGAAAGAGGAAATCTCTAAACCAGCTACTTGTGCCCCTTTGCTAGGCAATTGCAAACAGACCTGGAATAAAACAGTCCTTGGTGTGCTATCGTCCCTTCCTTTTGTGGCCTCCAAACCCCAAACTAAGCAGGCAGCATCAGACACCTGACTCTGGAGCACTGAACACAAAGCTGGTCAGTGTTTCTCTTAACTGTCCTCAGAGCCTGTCCCTAGTTGCAACAGAGACGATCCATCATCCCCAGAGCTGCCTCTGCCCCATCACCTAACAAAGGGGTTTCACAGCAGTTGGCTCCGCGCTGCTGCCCACAGCCCATGGTGGATGGTTGTTCTGGCCAGCAGTGGCTGCTTTTGTGTTGCCTTCCTGGGAACACTTGAGCAAGCAGGAGGTGGGAAATCGGAGGGAGCTCAGGGAGGCAGATGTGCTCCAGCGGAATTTTCATTCTTCCCCCTTGCAGGCTCACAGCATCCCCCTGCTCAGGAGGCAGCTTCCCCCACTCCTCCATCCTCCTGCTACCCCGACAAGGAGGAAGGATGCAATTCCTCCTGGAAGCCAAGAAACCCTCAAACCCATGTCTTACATGTGCTGCTCCCACAGCTTGTGGTGTTACAAGCCCAGCCCAGTTGTCACCTCCCAGAAGCATCACCCCATATTGCTGGGACACAAGAGCCACTTCCTGTGCCCACCAAATGCTCCCCATCTTCCACAGCCAGACTCAAACCATTTGCTGCCTTGGCACGGATTCAGCTTTATTGCATGTTCTGCAAAGTCAACAGCCAGATCACCAGTGGTCTGGCAGCAGTACAACAGGGTTCTCCTGCCCCTGCCCAGTGCTTGAGGTACCCCAGTGAAGCCAGTGCAGACAGGACAGGCTGCGCAGGCAGGGCAGTGTCCCTGGACTGTGTCATCCCCTGTCCCTGCAAGGTGACAGGAGAGCTCAGTGGCATGGATGTGCCTCTCTGTTCCAAGTTCAGGCAAAGGACTGGGCTGCAGGTGGGCAGCCAGCACAGGCTGAATCCCTCCTCGCAGAGCCCAGAGCCCTGCAGCACTGCCTGGAGCATCTCAGGACCCACATGGGGCTTGCAGGAACCTGGTCCCAGCACTATGGTGGTGGCAGGAAATTGAGGACAGCAGTGATGAATTCCCCAAATTTATCCTGATGGACTATGTGGCCTGCCCCTGCAATGTACTGGATATCAGCTTTGGGGAAGAGGCGCTGGATTTCCGGGTAGTCTTCGGACCTGCAGGACAAGGGAACATGCCATGGGAAATGTGGTGAGAGGCCCACCCAGGTATCTGCCCTTCCCCTCCCTAGGCAGAGGGGTCCCAGGTCTGACCGTGTCCCACTCTCTGCTGGGAAAGCCTGGAGCTGCCCTCAGGTTCCCTCTCACTCTCCAGTGCATTTTTGTTATCACTGGCTGATGGAGGCAGAGAGCTCACTCCAGAACCTTCCCCATCTCGGGGGCTTTCTCCCACCCTTGGCAGCTGCAGAAGAGCACACAGGGTGGAACCACTGACCTCACACTGCTTCTCTCCAGCCCCACCTGATATAAGGTGAGTCAGATCCTCCCAAGAAGAGTGCAGGGCCAGGATACGACTTGTGGAAGACGGGGAAGTTCATGATATCTACCAAGTGCTGGGAAATAGCATCCAGATTCACTCGCCAGACGTAGTGGCCCTCCACCTCTACCAGGTTGGTGAGCAAGAACTGCCTCAGCTGCGCGTGCTGCCACAGAAGGGGATCACACACTCTCCAGTAAAAGCAAAAAGCCCTCAAGCTGTTCTGCCACCCTCCATCCTGCCCTCCATTGCCTTCTCCCATGCTGTCATTCCCCTGTGGCCCCACAGCCCTGGTAAGATGTCTTCCAGCTGCCCATGATTGTGTCATGATTCTAACAGAGCCTTGGGTGACATGGTTTAGTGTGAGGTGTCCCTGCCCATGGCAGGGGGGTTGGAACTAGATGATCTTAAGGTCCTTTCCAACCCTAACTATTCTATGATGGAGTCCTGTGGGCCTAAAGCCTTGTGCTCTGGTCCCAGAGATGGGCTGGGAGTAGAAACCCCATCCATGGAACAGAATTTCCTACCTGGACCACCGGACGCAGCTGATGGTCAGCCAGCTGGCGGGCTGCAGAGCGAGACAGACCATCCGGGATCTTCACTGACTTCATAGCAGAGATGTAGGCAGAGAACTCGGAGACGGGTGCGGTTGAGGTGGGACCAATGTCGACAGAGATGAGGCGCTCCACCAGGTCTGGCTGGGGACACAAGCAGGGCAGACGGATGCCAGCTGGGAGCTCCCCAGTGGGATGGGGCACAGGGCTCTGCTCCCAGCCTGACTCATGGGAGGTTCTCAGCTCCCTCCTGCCTTGGCAGAGAGCTCCACATGCCCTTCCCTGATTCCCTGTGTTTCAGCGAGGGGAATCTCCAAGCTCCTGCAGCTGGGCTTACAGCTCTGAGCAGGACAGCACCCCGACCCTGATGGAGAAAACCTGCCTCTGTAGACAAGCAGCCCTCCCTCCCCCGGTGCCAGCCCCCTTCCTACAGCCCCCAGCCCCGAGCACCCTGCTCCTGCCGACCCGCTGCAAGGCCAGGGTCATGGCCGTCTTGCCCCCCATGCTGTGTCCCAGCAGGATGCACTTGGTGATGCCCAGGCGAGTCAGGAGGTGCTGCACGTCCAGGCTCATCACTTCATAGGTCATCAGCGCGCTGTGGGGGCTGCTGCCGTGGTTCCGGGCGTCCAGCGTCAGCACCTGCCTGGGCAGGGGCACGGTCACCGCCGTCCCCGCGCCACCCCCGCGCAGTGCCCAGCGCGGTCCCCTCCTCACCGTGCCGCTGCCGCCGCGCACCAGCGCCTTGGCCACCGCGTGCAGGTTGGCGCGGCTGCCGAAGAGCCCGTGGAGCAGCACGAGGGGCGCCCGGTCCGCGCGGCCCCGCTCCTCGCCGTGGGACAGCGGCACGGAGCTGCGGGGAGAGCGCGCTGGGGGCCAGCCCGGAGCCAGGGCCCCAAGCTGCGGGAGCGGGGTTCGGCCTCCAGAGCCCCCCCTGCCCCGCGCGCGGACGGGAGCTTACGTCACCACGGAGCGCGCGGCGGGAGGCGGGCGGGGGCGCAGCCGCCGCGGCGGGGCGCGGGCTCGGGGCAGCCGGCGGAGCAGCATGGCGGCCGGCGGGCAGACCGTGACGCTGTGCGTGCCGGCGGCCCCGCCCCGCCGCCGGGCGCCCCCTGGTGGCGGGAGGGCGGCCACACGCCGTGCCCCCGCCCCGCCGATCCCCGTTGCCGCCGGGCAGCGGGCGAGGGGTCCTCGCGGGCAGGAAGCGGGCGGGGCCCCGAGGGCGGGAGACGCGGGCTCCCGTTGCCCGCTCCTGCCTTTTCCCGGCCGCCCCCGCCGGCGAGGCCGTGCAGGGCAGCAAATCTTCCCGCCGCGCCCGCGGGCAGTGCTTTCCCGAGAGCCGCTCCGAGCCCCCGGGCGGGCGGCGGCGGCGGCAGCCGCTCGGGGCCTGTTTACCGGGCCCCGCTGCTTGCCCGGCCCCGCTGCCTGCTCGAGGCTCGGGTCCTGCCCGTGCACCTGCGTCGCTCCTTCCCCTTTGTCTCTGCCCGCTGGAGCGTTGCGAGGCCGTGGCCGGGCCGGGCGGTGGGAGCGGTTGTACACAGGCGGCCTCGCCCCGCCGCGGCTCTTGGAGGGGAGGGGGAAGCACCCCGTGTTCCGTCTGTGCTGCCAGACTTTGGACCGCGCAGGCAGGGAGTGCCGCTGCCCGTTCCCCTCCCGCCCCGATGGCTGCCGGAAAGCTGCCCCAAATGGGCGGAGGGGGGGCAGAGACCCCCGAGCCGGGAGGACAGCCCCGTCCCCAAACCCGGTGCTGCAGTGGAGCTGCGGTGGCAGAGGGTGCGGAGTGGCTGCTGGGGAACTGGATCCCGGTCCCCCTCCCGCACCAGGTGGGATCTTACCCCCTCACTCCCCAAGGATACTCGGGCTACCAAAACAGGACACGTTTATTGACAAATGTAACCGGTACAGAACAACACGTAACAGGGACAGACGGTGCCCGGACGGCAGCAGTAAGGGGGGGAGGGATACCAAGGGGGGGGGGGGGTGTGAGAGCACCGTTCCCATCCCTATCCCCATCCCTATCATGTCCCGTAGGTGTGGGCAGGGGCACACCGGGCGCCACTCTTCCCGCCGACCCGAAACTGCCTCTTGTTTAACCGAAACCGTCTCTATTTACACAGCCCGGCCCTGACCCCGCGGCCGTCCCCGTCCCCTCCTTCGTGCCCCCCCCTCCTGGTGCCTCTGTTTCCTGTCCCCACGGAGGGTGATGAGGGTCCCGGGGAGGGGGGTGGGGAATTTAGGGGGGTCCCGAGGGGTCTCAGACATAGTTCCTCTTGTCGTAGCTGGTGACAGCAGAGCGCGGGGCGGAGTAGGCCACCTTGCCGGTGGTGTACCTGTCGTCTTTGGGGGGGCAGGAGCAGCACAGCAGGGACCCCCCCAGCAGCAAGAGGGCAGAGGCTGCCCAGCCCACGTAGAGTGAGGCTCCCAGCTCCCGCTTCTGCGCGTCAAGCACCAATGGGTTGTAGAAATCCCGAATGATGGTGTTGGCCGACCAGGAGGCAGGGATGAGAGTCATGATGCCGGAGAGGATGAATATGACGCCGGAGGCGATGGTGATCTTGGCTTTGGTGCTCTCATCCTCTACGCAGCGGGTGCACTGGGCGCCTACAATAGCCACCAATAAACCGAGGACCGCCAAGACGATGGCCACCACCAGGAGGGCGCGGGCAGCTTGCAGGTCCTGCGGCAGGGCGAGCATGGAGTCGTACACCTTGCACTGCATCTGCCCCGTGCTCTGCACCACGCAGTTCATCCACAGCCCTTCCCAGATGATCTGGGCCGTCACAATGTTGTTGCCGATGAAGGCCGTCACCCTCCACATGGGCAGCGCACAGCAGATGATGCTGCACAACCAACCCAGCACTGACAAGGCCACACCGCTGATCTCCAAAGCCATCGACATGGTGGATGGTTTTGCTGCCGTGCGCCGGGCGATGGCGGAGGAGAACCCACGGACCGAAACCGCACTGCTCTCCGGTTGCTGC